TTTTATAGACTTTTTTACATTGAAGCAGGCAGAAATCTAAGTGCTGGGGCACCGTGGTTACTATACTAAGTGATATATAAATCCGAACACCCAGTTTAAATGGTTTTATTTTAATAAAATTTTGTATAAGTACTTAATGAAGCATACTAAGTAAATGATAAAAATTCCAAAATGATTGCACTGCTTTAAAGCCCTTTGACCTTTAATAATGTGTGGATGCACCCTGATGTGCTACGCATTCTCCAACGCGCCTAGGCATGCTTCTGATCAGGTGGTCAATGTCCTCCTGTGGTATCTCATTCCAGGCAACCACCACCAATTCCTTTCGAAGTGCTCCTAGAGTCTGAGGAGGACGTTGCAAATTGAGCAATCTCCTACCCATCATATCCCACACGTGCTCAATTGGGGATAAGTCGGGAGATCTTGGTGGCCATGGTAACAATGTGACATCATTATGTTGAATGAAGTCTATTGTGACTCTTGCAACATGTGGTCGGGCATTATCTTGTTGGAAAGTTGGATCTGCCAGGGTGTCAAGATAGGGTAAAATATGGGGTTCTAGAACTTCGTGGATATAACGCTGCGCGTTTATGTTACCTCTGATGAAGATTAAAGGTGACCTGGAACCATAAGCTATAGCACCCCAAACCATAACTCCAACAGTGTGATGAACATGTGTTTCAACAAAAAACTGTGGATTCCTCCTTTCACCACGTCGCCTTCTAACCCTGGCACGACCATCGTGCATGCCTAAACAAAATCGAGACTCGTCACTAAAGACAATACTGTTCCATTCCTGATCCCAGAGTGACCGTTGTCTGCACCACTCAAGGCGATTCGTCGGTAAACACTTCGCATGCCAATAGGTCTTCCGTGTTCTGCAAACCATTTATTTGCAATGGACCTGGTAGTGGAGAAACGGTCCCTTAAGGCCAATAATCTTAGGCGGCGATCTTCACGGTCTGTTGTTCTACGGCGGCGTCCAGTGCCCCTTGCTCTTTGCGTACGGCCTTCTCGAAGCCATGCCTGACAACACCTTACCACAGTGTCTATACTTCTTTGCACTCTAACTACAATTGCCCGAAAAGAAAGTCCAGCTTCCCGAAGTCCCACTATACGGCCGCTATCAAACTCACTAAGTTGACGAAATCGTACAGGTCTCCGCACTCTAGGCATCGTAACCGATCGTAAAGGATGTCAAGAACCAAAATCCGCCAACATTGATTCTTTGCTGCGGCTGAAATATTCATTTTTAGAGCGTTAGTGAATTAAAAAAAAAGCAGTATAAAAACCGGAATGTCCAACTGATAAGGCTGAAAATTTTTTCACTTGTTATTTACAGTAAGATAAATACATTCACTAACTTTTATTAAAATAAAACCATTTAAACTGGGTGTTCGGATTTATATGTCACTTAGTATATGTTAGGTAATCATTTACGTTTTTCATAAAATTATGTGTTTCAAGAGCTCATTTTATGTGTCTAGATTAAAAAAGGTATTTTTTTACATCAGATGTATTGTTCAAATTGCTAATTTTATGTTAATGTAAATTTAGTGTCTTTTCTGTGGAACACTGAGGAAGGAAATGAATTATTCAAGACGTATACTTTATTGCAAATCCAATTGAATACAAAAAGTTCATATAGATAAGTGTCATTAGAAGACAAATCTTTGTAGCTTCACTCTATCAAAAGCGTAATCTCAGCAACCGTTATAACGATTTTGATGGACTTTCAAAATGAATGACGCTTCTTGCTACTGGTCGGTAATAATTATCATAAAAAATGCTTGCTTTTGAGCCAGAATTGACTTTCTTTGAAAGGAAGCATTTAAAGTTGGCTTAGCAAAAAAGTAGAGAATAAAGGTAGGGTAAGAAAAAGCAAACCTTGTCGACTGGTCGCAGATACTTATGGTGATATGAAATGAAATAGTGAAAATAGAGAAATGGTAAGGTGAACATACAATATGTACAGTACAACACAGCGACTAGAGGAAAAAGGTAACAGTGTATAATACAAATCCTAAGAAACTCCATCTGAGTTACTGATTTCTTTCTGGACAGGACCATTTCTATATTTTTGTCACTTGAGCTTATGGAATATATGAACTGCAAACTCAATACTTGATGAAATAATTACAATGATAATAATAGAATAATATTATTGAACATTTCTTGGCACTGAAATATTCTATCGATTTATGATCTACATACTGGAAAGATACAAGCATTCTTTTATTGACTTCTGTCCAGTTTCGTTTTGCACCGAGTTAATAAACAGAGTTTTCGTATTCTGGCATATAGAAAAGTATGGAGTTTGCAGCTCTTTTTGGTATTATAAAAGCACCACCACCACACAGAGACTTGACATTAATCACAAAGTAAGGAACAGTGCAATCGTGCAAAAAGCGCAGCCCTAAACATACACATAAAATAGTCCGGTCAAGAGACACATTACCTTGGAACTATTGTGGAATATAGAATTCAGCAACTGAGGTACACAACATGAATTCGACCCGAGACAATATACAATTTTGAGATGTTGGAGGTCATTAAAAATTTTGATACAGTATCATTATGTCGATTTTATGTTTTGGAACAAGCTAGCAGCAGAAATATTTACGCTTAGAAGATTTTGAGTCTTTCATGCTAGGATCACATATATTCCTCTAGATTAAAGAAGTGTGGACAGTGTTAACATTTCCTGAACTTGTAGATTTACTTGATAAAACTCTTCCATCAGGTAACTGAATTGCACAATTTGTTTTGTTGGTTCACAATACAGCACTGGAAAAGTAACGCGTTTAAGTTTTTTTATTTGAAGAGCCTCGTCAGACTGAAATTGATATCAACTAGATCATAGGTGCAAACAAGCTAACCAAGTCTTAGAATGAATGCAGAATCCATAGAATAGGTCCTCGAATTTGATGCTCTCCTTACCGCGTATAGCTATTATTTTCTAATCCACCTTTTTTCCCTCTATCTTTATCATGTCTTTTCTCTCTAGCAGTGAAATAGGCTTCCTTTTTGGTGATTGCATTTGCACATGCTTAAGATAGTTTTATATAGTTTGGATACCCAATCAATGTGAACGTCAGTCTCACGATGCTTCTCAAATGAAAGATATAAATGCGTTACGATTTTTCCGGCGTTTTATTGCCAAACTTATACAAACAATTGTACTATTCGATTGTGTGGTTTTCTGGACAAAACTTAGTTGATTTTAATATTGTTCTGACATTATCCCATGATCACCGAATATTTTGGTACCACAGTAGTCTGTTCAGAACGAGATCCGGTTTTACAATTTTTAGTTGTCTATATGTCCCATCATAGTCAGATGCGATACTTACAGTTAACTGCTGAATAAGGGTTGATTAGCAATTGTCAATTCGATCCTTAAAGCAGAGAATTGATTTTCAAATAGCTGTTTGTGGCATGTAATATCCATTATTTGGATTATCTATACAATAGATTCATTAAGAAACTCTACAATTTATAGTTATTAGTCTTGAAGCTGAAGTACCTTTTATTGTAACTCTATGATTCAGTTGCCTGCATTACTGAGTTTTACATATACATCGAGTTTCGTTGTCTACAGGTGTTCCAAGGTAAGGTTGTCAGATTGACGAGACTGTGAAGCTCAAGTGACGAATGGATGAACCATACTAGCAACATAAGAAAAAGTTATTGACAAATGAATACCATCGGTGCTTTACTATCCTCTGTAGGTCCCGTTACTTGGTTACTGGTTATATCTGGCAAAGGTGGGGGAGGATCACGTGTATCGAATCCGCTTACCCTCACTACAGGGTCCATTGGTACCTCTGTGCCATTTGGAAATTTTCTAATGATTGTGTTGTTAGGGTACACGCCCACGATGACGAAAGGAGTGTCTTTGTTAGGTACTGTCGGAGGCCTTTTGCGTAAGATCGTGTTGTTGTTCAGTACTGCGAAGACAAAATAGTCTGGCGTTGTGGAAGTAGTACTGCTTGAAACGTCGATGCTATTCGAAACTGGATCCTGGATTGCATTCAGTAACTTCCCCGTTCTGTTAGAAGCTGGTGGGTCAGTTGTGTTAGGTTGTAAGGTAGTAGTGGCATCTTGTGCAGTTGTTGTTTCCATGGTCGTAGCTATGTCCATCAAGGTTGTCGTTTCAGGCAAAACGGTAGTAGTGGTACCTTCTTCTGTAGTGGTGCTAGTTATAGTAGTAACTAAGTTATCGAAGTTAGTTCTACTAGCGATGGTAACGGTGGTCAGTAAGTTATCGTCAGGTGGTACTGTATAAAAGTCGTTAGCTGAGATGATTCTTACACTTGCAGGACTTACTTCGAATCTATGCGGATGAAGCAATTTACGTTCAGTCGTTGAGGGTTTTTGAGATTCAGTCGTGACAGTAGTACTATCGGTCGTAATAGTTGTAGGAATTGTGGTTAACTCTGTAGAAGATGCCGTCGACATGGGCAAAGTCGTCGTTTCAATCGTAGTACTACTTTCAGTCACCAATGTTTCCGTGGTACCTGCAGGCGTGATGGTTTCGCTGGCTGTCTCAGGTGTATTAGTGGAAGTGGAAAGTGTAGTGGTAGTAGAAGTGGAAGTAGTACCCTGAGGCCTTGATAGAAACGCAGAAATAGGAATGACAGCCGTCGTACTGTGAGTATTTACATAGGAGCTCTTGGGGGTGACGAGGACCACGCCATCCTTCTTGTGGGACTTGATCCCGTTAAGGATGTCGAGCAGATCGCCTATGGTACGCTTCTGCAAGGCTTGATCAGGGGTGATCTCATCCAGTATACTCAGAGGATTGATGGAGGTGCTTTGGTTGTGCGACTCAACACTACGGAAAGGTTTAGTGGGCAAAGGCGTGGTAGGGGATGAACTTATCGTATTAAAATCTTTACCTACTTGAACAGAGTTCGTGTCGTCAGTGGCCTGGATAGCGGAGAGGGAGTTTAGGATTTTTTCGATTATGGTGGTGGGCTTGTCGGTGGTGTCAGTGTCATTGTCAGTCTTTGTCTTTTTTGTGGCTAGCTTCAAAATGGCGGATTTGGAGGACTCCGTGGTCGTTGTGGTGGAGGTTGAGGCTTGTTTCGAAGACAACGGTGACGGTGAGGTAGTTATGTTGGCGGCGATGGAGTTTATGATCCGCTCGATGATCGAAACTGCTTTCTCCGTTGTGCCATCTTTTACCTTCGGGAGAGGTATTGTTTCACAATTGTGCGTGAAAAAGCCAAAGATTGAATGCATAATACCAAGACCTCAATTTTACTGAGAGCAGGACCTGAGTGCTGGATCACTGATATGAAACAATTCCGAAGAGCTTACTATTGAAAGTTTTGGATGGGTAAGGGATAGTGGTAATTTGTTACATTTTATTCTATCAATTCTATAAGTATAAAATATAACTTAGGATGTGAAGCAGACGCTTGTTCTAGCATAGGAGGATAATGTCGCGAATCGCGCTTTCTAACTCACTAATACGTTGAGTTAGGGAGAAAGTAAGTGCAGATTCAGAATCAGAACGTTCAGATCTTCAATCATGCCAACTTTCATTCAAATCGGAGATCATAAAAAATAATCATTTTTTGCACCAGAGTGCCTTTTTGCGAGTCAACGCCATCGAGCGCCGGCGTTCAGTGTTAGGTCCGACCTAACACTTTATAAGTACGCGCAATTTTCTGCCGTGTAACAAACCTTAATGCGGGGCTTAGGTCAAAGCCCCCAGCGCAGGATCCCCAAGAAAGAGGCCGTCCAGTTGTATGAAACGTCCACCACGTGCTTCCGCGACGCGTTCGCGATCGAGTCAAATTTCGGGAAAAAGGGGCAAAATTGCGGAGGGGGGTTAGCTCGTTCGGCAGCACACACTCGGGGAATGCGCAGCGGCCTGAACCATGCTGCGCCACGCCAGGCCTTCGGGCGGGAGAGAAGGAAGGAGCAGATTGCTCTTCCCCTCATTCCTCAAGTGTTTGAGGTTGCCTGGAACAGGAGTGGTGGAGGGACCGCACAGGGTAGGAGGGTGTGTGTGTGTGTGTGTGCCATGCAACAGATCAATTCGGTCTAGCCTGGACATCAGTACATCGAGAAGATACTACGGTGGCGCTTCCATTTCTTCGCAACCACTCCGACCAGCAGCAGTCCGCCGAGAGCGCCGAATCGAGTTTCGTCCCACCGATACAGTGATACAGCCAGTCGAGCCGCTCACTCCTGGCCCGACCGCCGTCGCGTACGGATCGGTACGAGGGACGTTAAATTCGTGTTGTTGACCTATCAGGGGTATTGCAATCGTCCGTATTCGAAGAACCGATATACCTATTGTGAGTTGTGGGGTAGCCATTGTTTTGCGAAAAGAACAAAAGGTGGTTATAACCTCCACAACCACATTCACTGAAAAAAAGAGGTTTCACTCACGCTTTGCACGAAAGGGTGGATCGGGAGATTTTAATCTCTGCAAGAACGTAAGCCCTGTGCACCATCTTGATATCATCAGCAGTTGCGGAATCAGCCGAGCTCCACAACGATGACGTCGAGACGTAGGAAGTCGACACGGCGTCGATGCTGCGCGCCGAGATAAGGAGTCTGCAGGGGATAATCATCGCTGTGAGGGTTAAGTCATAGGAGACTTGACTCCTCCAGCACCACTCTGTCCGGCCACACAGGTCCAGGATCCAGGTAGGTGCAGTGATGCTCTTGATCTTCACGTGACTTCTCCACCTGCCGTTAATTCCGCGCCGATGGTACAGCAGTTCAGCACGGCACCAGCTCTCGGTGGTAATATGGGAGCCTTCCTCGACTGTCTTGCCGTCTCCTCCAACCGACAAGAGTTTCAAAACTTACTTGGTCGTGTCGCCGATCCCGGAATGCGCCCCGGAATCGACAACCAAGGCTCAAATCTGAATCTCCAGGTCGGTCTCCCTGGCGAGGATGCCGACGCGGTGCGACGTACCGCGGTCGCAAGTACGCGTTTCACACGCGATGCGACCGTGGGCGCGCACCTCCAAGCGACCTACATCGATGCGGATACGACTCATGCAGATGATTTCACGAAGCCCCGTGCTGGTCGACGATATCAGAACATTACCGTGCAGCTGAAGTGCGAGGAAACAAGCAACGTTTTCGATAGAAAATGTGCAGTGCACGAGGGTGACATAACGGTATCGCAAAAAGAAAATATAGGAGGTAGACGTCAATAAAAAAGTTTGCTTGTGTTAGCAAATTCTATTGGTACATACCGATGAGAATGAGATCGGATGAAGTTGGAGTAACAATGGTTGTAGTGCTTGTAAAGAGCCAGGAGGCAGACTGGTGAAACGTATTTGTCAGCTACAAATGTTAGCGTCATTTCCTCAGTAATTTTAACACATTTTCAAGTCATAATACTTCTTGGTAATGACCTGGCATTATGTTCCTGCTCTCCAGATAGGTTTTGCGTCAAAGACAGTCTTCTTCTCAGTTCCCTAAGTTCAGACCATCTTAAGCTATGTAGGAGCTTTTGAGCAAACATCAAACTTGGGAACTGTGGCTGAAGGGGCTTTACACTGTCCTTGGAGAAAAATTAAGAGCGAACTTGGCTTGATTTTTGGGCATTTGGGGATCCCTTATCAAGCCGAAGCACTAGGCACGGGTTCTCTGCGGCTATAGGATAAAGAAGGAATATTGCTTCATTGATGTGAACTTTCCCAAGTAGACACGGTTCATAGAAGGAAGTTGGTAGTGGTTATTCGATCAGACAATGCTTGAGAAGTAGAGTTTTCCAGCCATATTTATTTTAATTCAAATGACTTACTGACTACGATCCGTCGATCTGTTTTCCGAGGATGATGCAGTATTATGCATTCAATACTTATGCACTTGTTTAACAAAATATTTATGAGTCTCATGAGGCAGACATTCCCATTGCATTGTTTATTTTATTACAGGTTTTATAGTGCTCCGCAAATAGAACTTGTTTTTAATATGTTCATCGGGATGCTTAAAGAGCTCTAAAGCTTTGAAGGTGATTCAGTGAATTCAAGGCTCCTTTTGAGAAAAATGCATATTAGGAGTTTACAACTTTGATAATCCTAGCTAAATAACTGCATACACATGATTATTGAGACTAGTCACTCAGATTATGCAGAAAAATATCCTAGGCATTTGCTGTGGAGTGTGATCAGAGATCAAATTGCTTAAATTGATAATAAAGAAAAACGTTATCAAGAAGGGAATCCTCCGGCATGATGGCTCATAAAAATACATATTATTGGAGGTACTCAATGTTATGGTGATTTCTGCACTGCAGAAGTACCTTATACCACTGACAACCCGACTGACAATAAAGGATCATGGATAGCTGAATAGCACGTGAGGTCAAACACCGCATAATAAGCATCATTATATCTCTCATGTCTTGTCCGAAATTTCTAATCCGAGCTTTTAAAAGTCCTGAGGTACAGAAGCCACCATAATACTGGCAACTCCTTCAGGTTCCATAAGCACAGTTCTCTATTTACCGGAGTAGTGGGATTATTTAACGAATTTTCTTTTGAGGAAGTATAGTCTCCTTTGACTAAGTTGGCTGATTGGATAGAGTTGACTGGATCATCGAAGAAAAGCACTTCTAGGCCTAAGTCTACATCCTTAGTGCTGCGTTTCGGTGATACCTGCAAAGTGTATAGATGTGTTGTTCAGTTGTGTTGTTGGATTACGCATTGACTGATGACAGTTTAAAGTAATCTTATAATATGTACCTACCTACAAATTACATTTTATTTTTTATGTACACAAACATCTTCCAATTTTGTACTACCAATATACAAATATTACATATGAAATATCTGCTCTATTTTACTATCGCACCTACCTTCAGCATGACCAAGATATTCCTGAAGCAACAAATTTATTTCCAAAATCATTGTCTTTTAGATTTTAGATTCTACTAGAATACATACATCTATTTCAACTTGGAAAAACGTAATCTAGGCCTAGCTACTCTTAGCACTATACATATGTAAGCTAACTCAATACAACTTAAAAAAATCAGTCAGCGCGATACCACTCGCTAGGTAATAGAAGTATATTTTTATGTACATAACGTGTACACTAACAACACAATTGATGAAAATTCCAAACTTTTCGTTTTTTTTTGCAAAATATACAGGATGTTTCATATGGGATAAAGGTGGGGATGTTATAGGATGCTGGTTATAAAACCTTTTTGACTTCATCATTCTTTCAAGGTGAATTAAACCCTCAAGTTAGTTTGTTAGAAACACCCTGCATATTTTGTTAGTCACATAGTTATACAGGGTGTTTCAGTTGATTGTTGCATAACTTTAAGATTCGATAGAACTTTTAAAATTAATGCATAAAGTCTATATAAACATGGGTCGAAAAATGCGTGGCTTCCGAAATACAGGGTGTTTAAATTTACTTTCTAAAATAGTTTTTTTTTTAAATATTTCGAACAATATTTGATGTATAACATTGAAAATTGGTATACATGGGTTTTTTGATACGACAAAACGAACCATGGACATAGTTTTACTGTAGCCGCTAGAGGGCGCTCTCTACTGTACCTGTAGTGTATTAAAATGACCGAAAAATTTTTCTTAGTGCAATTTTTTGCTTTTGGCATTTTTGCATAGGTCGCAAATGGTAAGGACGTCAATGGTCATTTCTAAGAACACGGCGAACATGGCTTGCTGAAATTCCCAAGGCACCAGAAACTCTCCTAACACTTGTGGTCAGATCTCTATAAAACTCACGCAGAATCATATGGGTAAATCTGCGCTGACGAACATTTATATTTTGATCCCTTTGGAGATTTCCAAAACAATTTTTAATTATTTGGCGATGCACTCTTACAAATACTGAGCGAGTTGGATGTCGTCTGTTTGGAAATCTTCGTGCGTATTCTATAGCTGCTTCTGCTTCGTTTCCACTTACAAAGCCAAACACAAAATGAATATCCGCTAACTCTCTTAATTGGAGAATAAAAATGGCATTTTTATAAAACTTACAAAAAAAAACAGGTAAAAGAAACTAAATTTCGTGCATTCACAATTGCAAAAAAACGTTTCAGGCTTCAACAGACAACAAAACTAACTGTCAACTAATTGACCTTTAACCTTATTCTGCTTTCAATTTCAAAAATATTTGCAGGCTCAGCCTACTTCTAAAAATTATCGAGATACTGACTTTTTAACGTTATTTTATCATAAATAATTAAAAATGCATCGAACCTTAAAAATCGAAATATCTCAAAAACGACTAACTATAACGAAAATTCACAAGAGAGCTTTTTTATGTTGAAAAGTGCGAAGAATAGGTTTTTTTATTCAAAAAGCAAAAAGTTGTACTAAGAAAAAAATTTCGGTCATTTTGATACACTACAGGTACAGTAGAGGGCGCCCTCCAGCGGCTACAGTAAAACTGTGCCCATGGTTCGTTTTGGCGTACCAAAAACCCTTGTATACCGATTTTCACTGTTATACATCAAATATTGTTCGAAATATTTAAAAAAAACTATTTTAGAAAGTAAATTTAAACACCCTGTATTTCGGAAAGCCACGCATTTTTTGACCCATGTTTGTGCATTAATTTTAAAAGTTCTATCGAATCTCAAAGTTATGCAACAATAAACTGAAACACCCTGTATAATAGAATATTCAGCGTTTCATAATAGTATTCGTAGACTTTGAGATTATTGGAGCGTTCAGTTTTTACAATACTATGGATTAAATATGTACAGTATCCAATCAAGCATACGACTACTTGTTGAAACGCTTTATATTTCTTGATAATCCACCTTTGTGTATAATAGAAATTAAGGTGATTCACACTGACAGTACTGTAACCATATACAGTGCAGAGTATTTTTTATAAAATTTAGTTCATAGGTGACCACTGTTCTTTGAATATGTGGACTGGCAAAATAAAATTATATAGGGTGAATGTATTAGTTATAGACCAGCTTTGATATTGAAGATAAAGAACTTGTGCTTGAACAAATGAATTCAAGCATACCACATAAAACTAACATAAACATATTTTCTTGATTATCTCAAAACATTCAATAAAGAGAACGGTCAAAGGGGTTACTTACATTTTTTGAGAATTCAGCAGTCACCAGTGAATTGTTAATTTTGTATGTTAGTTACACGTCTAAGTTCAAGCAACACACATATTGGTGCCAAGCAGCGTTGTAAAGCATCTACATTGTATATATTTACAGTGTATTTACATTACAAATAAAAAACCATATTATGTATTAAGTATTGCATTTATTATAAAAAGGTAAAAGAATCATACAAAAATAAAATAGTACACCTTTTTCTTACATCTATGTTAGTATCATTCAGAATGTGCAATATTTCAGAGACATTTTGTGACTGTACCAATTCAGTCAGTTTATCATGATTTGTAAAAAATGTGATGAAGCTATGTTTCAGTTGGTAAGCTTTCCTAGAGTCTTGTGTATTTTTCGTTCATTTTGGATAAATATAAAGACAGCCAATGTTAGACAAACTTACGATATATGGCACCAAATATTAGAAAACGTTTACAAATATAAATAACCAGGATAACAGAAATAAATAAAATCATATGAGAATAATGCCAAATAGGATTGTGAATCCAGGAACTTAAAACGTTATGTGAGTCTAAGACGCTAATTACATTCAACGAAGGCCATGTGATTTCTATCTTCTCAATCTGTGCAAAACATTTGTTATAGAAACCCGTCACCTGGGAAGTCCAAAATCAATGAAAAGAAAGTCAACTAGTTTTTTGGTAATTTTGGCTGCCAATATGTTCATCTGATCCTTCCGTAATTCTGAATAAAAATTTGGTGTGCCGATCATGTGTCACCATTTGATTTTGGACTTGAGTGAAACTTATACTAAAAAGAAAACTATTGACAACAGAAGTGTTTGTGACGTGTTTTCACTGTAGTGGTAGATAGTGGTAAAGAGGACGTGCAGAAGGTAGTCTCCAGTATAGTCTGGGAAATGACCAGTTGTCTATGATATCCTCATTCCATACATCATCATACTCCTTGAGCAGAAATAAAAAAAACTTGCTTAATATCATAGTTGAGATCGAAAAGGCGTACTATTTTATTCATCCAACTCAAATGATGCTTATATCATTCAAAAATATGCTTGAACATTATCATTGGTGTATTTTCACTTTATAAAATATAAGCAATGATTTGAGTTACAGTCACGCGCCTAATGGCCACACTGTACCTTTCAATCACTACAATCCAAGCTACTTCCTATTTAGAACCTCATAATTTACCGGGGTGACTCATACATACTGGCCCAAATTTTTTTAGATGGGTAACATTTCAATTCATACAAATATGCGCCTCGCAAGTCAGGTCTAGGAGGTACGATTTTCTTTTTGTATTTATTGCAGCATCGTTAAATTTAATTTCCATTTGCTTGTCACTGAAGCCCACGAAAGGTATCGTGTAGCTCTTTTGTACTATATACAGGGTAATTCTAAGTACCAACTCGGTCTATAGTCTATAGTCTTATATACAAAGCTATCTGAAAAATACGCCACAAAAACTATAGGCAACGAGGAAACATATCGCAGCCTACATGGTGATCCAAAACTACAACGCAAACGTAATTTTTTCTAAATGGAATGCTCTATATATACTAAGTGACATATTAACCGAACACCCAGTTTAAATGGTTTTATTTTAATAAAAGTTGATGAATGTATTTATCTTACTGTAAATAACAAGTGAAAAAATTTTCAGCCTTATGAGTTGGACATTCCGGTTTTTATACTGCTTTTTTTTAATTCACTAACGCTCTAAAAATGAATATTTCAGATGCAGTAAAGAATCAACGTTGGCGGATTTTGGTTCTTGACATCCTTTACGATCGGTTACGATGCCTAGAGTACGGAGACCTGTACGATTTCGTCAACTTAGTGAGTTTGATAGGGGCCGTATAGTGGGACTTCGGGAAGCTGGACTTTCTTTTCGGGCAATTGCAGTTAGAGTGCAAAGAAGTGTAGACACTGTGGTTAGGTGTTGTCAGGCATGGCTTCGAGAAGGCCGTACGCAAAGAGCAAGGGGCACTGGACGCCGCCGTAGAACAACAGACCGTGAAGATCGCCGCCTAAGATTATTGGCCTTAAGGGACCGTTTCTCCACCACCAGGTCCATTGCAAATGAATGGTTTGCAGAACACGGAAGACCTATTGGCATGCGAAGTGTTTACCGACGAATGAGAAGTTTTGGCTTGTTTTCATACCGGCCACACTGGGTCCTCCCTTTAACTCGAGAACACCGACGTAATCGCCTTGAGTGGTGCAGACAACGGTCACTCTGGGATCAGGAATGGAACAGTATTGTCTTTAGTGACGAGTCTCGATTTTGTTTAGGCATGCACGATGGTCGTGCCAGGGTTAGAAGGCGACGTGGTGAAAGGAGGAATCCACAGTTTTTTGTTGAAAGACATGTTCATCACACTGTTGGAGTTATGGTTTGGGGTGCTATAGCTTATGGTTCCAGGTCACCTTTAATCTTCATCAGAGGTAACATGAACGCGCAGCGTTATATCCACGAAGTTCTAGAACCCCATCTTTTATCCTATCTTGACACCCTGGCAGATCCAACTTTCCAACAAGATAATGCCCGACCACATGTTGCAAGAGTCACAATAGACTTCTTTCAACATAATGATGTCACATTGTTACCATGGCCACCAAGATCTCCCGACTTATCCCCAGTTGAGCACGTGTGGGATATGATGGGTAGGAGATTGCTCAATTTGCAACGTCCTCCTCAGACTCTAGAAGCACTTCGAGAGGAGTTGGTGGTTGCCTGGAATGAGATACCACAGGAGGACATTGACCACCTGATCAGAAGCATGCCTAGGCGCGTTGGAGAATGCGTAGCACATCAGGGTGCATCCACACATTATTAAAGGTCAAAGGGCTTTAAAGCAGTGCAATCATTTTGAAATTTTTATCACTTACTTATTATGCTTCATTAAGTACTTATACAAAATTTTATTAAAATAAAACCATTTAAACTGGGTGTTCGGATTTATATGTCACTTAGTATATTAGGCATAAAGAGCACGTGGAAAGTATATCTATGCTGATATAAGTTCAGAAATTGCATTCAATTTGATTTTCAGATACAAGGAGTTGAAGAACAGAAAGATTGATATTTTAGTACATTCTGGACGATGGCCTCTTCAAAGAAAGAAGCAGTAGCAAACCTTTTGTCGCCACTTGAACGATTTTAAAATTATTCGCATTATCGATATAGTGTGTATATAAACGCAAGATGTAGATTTTCTCAAAAAATTAAAAGGATTATTCTTACTGTTTTGGGATAATTTTCCTATAAGATTTAGTTTGGAAAACATTTGAAAAAGGTTCCAACCAAGTTCTAACGCAACTAACACCACATGTTTTTCCATAATTATGAACTTTACGTATTAGACCGTATTCAGTAGAATATAATTTCCTGCTTCTAAAACAAAAGCCAAATCGCATCAGACACTAGTTATCTTTTTGCCATTACCATTGGGAGCTATAGAACATTTTAAAAACTTTGATTTAGCTATCAGATACAGTGCTTCCATTCTGCCCCATTCACTCTTCTGACTCTTCGCACCATTCAAGTACTTACCGTCGTTGGCTTCCAAGCGCTTCTGGTAGGTGGCGTGACCGTCGGTACTGTCGGTACGTACGGCGCTGAAGGAATGGTAGGAATGTACACCGGAGCATTTGTGGTCGTTCTTGTTACGGCTGTACGAAGAGAGAGGTCGCCACGATACCGGTCGCTGGGCTTTTTCGGTACAAAAGCGGACTTAGGTATCTGAAAGAAGAATCAGAGCTGAGCTTGAGCTTTGGTAGAGACGAATTTTTTAGTTTGGATGTGGTCATAGATGCTGCCTAACAAATGGGAATATCCCACTACAGAGAGGCTGTTCAAGCTTCTTAAACTATCGGGCCCAGCGGAAAATTCAACAATTTCAGCAGGTAGTTATGTGTAATAATAGAAAATAGCATCTTATGCTAAATAAAGAAACAAAATCGAACCAAAGTATCTCAAATCCAACTCTAAGGGAGGTAAGGTCATACAATCAATGTCATTTCTGACATAGTTATATTTTTTTTATGTTAGTCGTCAAATTCGATGTTGACAATAACAAGTCATAAATATGTTGCTCATTTAATGATGTGTCGTATTTACTTTTACATAATTAAGGCTTGATAAACGTTTTTTTTGATTCTGAAGGATTTGGTAATTTCGAAGATACTTTTTCTCTAGCGCATAATATACTAAGTGACATATAAATCCGAACACCCAGTTTAAATGGTTTTATTTTAATAAAATTTTGTATAAGTACTTAATGAAGCATAATAAGTAAATGATAAAAATTTCAAAATGATTGCACTGCTTTAAAGCCCTTTGACCTTTAATAATGTGTGGATGCACCCTGATGTGCTACGCATTCTCCAACGCGCCTAGGCATGCTTCTGATCAGGTGGTCAATGTCCTCCTGTGGTATCTCATTCCAGGGAACCATCAACTCCTCTCGAAGTGCTTCTAGTGTGTTACATCAATTTTCTTCTTTTGAATTGGTTTATTCAAATATGCAATAAAATTTCAGGCATTCTATTAAAAATCACAACTTTGATATGCAGGTCAAAATTGGGACGCCCTGTATAATTGCCAATATTTTAGAAATGTTCCCACAAATGTCATGCCGTAAATAAATTTTCCCAAAATGTATTTGTTTATGAGTAATATACCGTCCACACATGGGCCACCCTGTATACATATAAGTATTGACGCTGCCACGGTATAGGCAGACCACATATTTGCGAGAAATTCATTAGATCAAAGTTTTTACAATAAACTACCTCAGACCATTCGTGAGCTGACTTATATGCGATACTCGATCAATGTTCTTCTCTACTGAGGAATTATTCAAGTTTCAGTTTCTTTGAGCAGTCATTTTTTTATTGTAAATGTTTGATTTCCTTTTGCTCTGTTGTTTCTGCATCCAATGACCTGACATATCATTTATATATGATCAATAAATTATCTACATCTATATATTTCCGTCACGTTATTGGTGCAAGTCAAATCATATAGTTAATAAAGTGAGCATAATAAATTGTTTACTGTTAACACGTTTTGCAAGCTCTGATGTATGTAATAACGTTTTTATTGTTTTAAAGTCCGCGAACCTGTTAGATGAGCAAGTATATCTTGTGGTTTGCGGTTATTGTGGCTGAGACAGCATCGTCGACATATTTTTGGTACCTTCTAATAATAATTTTGTAATACTATCTCTACTAATTACAAAATTCCAAATATACGTAAGACGGTATCGATTTCATATTAGGAGTTACTCAAATCCGAGGCAATCTATTTCAGTACAAATCATTTTTGTGCAGTGAATGTGTGACAATCTCGTGCGATCTACCGATAGTAGACCATATACGCTCATTTAGTGAACAATCTCCAGGTGACTGATGGGAAATTGGATTTATTGAGTGGCTGACGTGAAATATACCCACGAAATTTTATGGTAAGCTTTTCTGAGTATATTTTTCATCCATATTTCGTTGTACAAGAAATGTGAAATATATTCAATTTAATTTTTAATATTGTATTAGGCATAAAGGGCACTTGGAAAGTATATCTATGCTGATATAAGTTCAGAACTTGCATTCAATTTGATTTTCAGATACAAGGACTTGAAGAACAGAAAGATTGACCGTAAATGGAGTTGATTGGGAACAATTTACCGAATCATCTATTATTTTATTTCTCAACGTGTAAATAATATATCAAAAGGTATTAATTTCACGAAGCTTGAATTCTACTATGATTCATTTTTACGCGAACATTTCTTAAAATGACTATCTGGGCACTCTTGAGGAAGCAGTTATTTCTATTTCTGACGCATTTGAGTTTGAGTTATTTTTATTATCAAAAAGAAGAGCTGTGTGTGAGGCCTGTCATAATATATACTAAGTGACATATAAATCCGAACACCCAGTTTAAATGGTTTTATTTTAATAAAATTTTGTATAAGTACTTAATGAAGCATAATAAGTAAATGATAAACATTTCAAAATGATTGCACTGCTTTAAAGCCCTTTGACCTTTAATAATGTGTGGATGCACCCTGATGTGCTACGCATTCTCCAACGCGCCTAGGCATGCTTCTGATCAGGTGGTCAATGTCCTCCTTTGGTATCTCATTCCAGGCAACCACCAACTCCCCTCGAAGTGCTTCTAGAGTCTGAGGAGGACGTTGCAAATTGAGCAATCTCCTACCCATCATATCCCACACGTGCTCAATTGGGGATAAGTCGGGAGATCTTGGTGGCCATGGTAACAATGTGACATCATTATGTTGAAAGAAGTCTATTGTGACTCTTGCAACATGTGGTCGGGCATTATCTTGTTGGAAAGTTGGATCTGCCAGGGTGTCAAGATAGGGTAAAAGATGGGGTTCTAGAACTTCGTGGATATAACGCTGCGCGTTCATGTTACCTCTGATGAAGATTAAAGGTGACCTGGAACCATAAGCTATAGTACCCCAAACCATAACTCCAACAGTGTGATGAACATGTCTTTCAACAAAAAACTGTGGATTCCTCCTTTCACCACGTCGCCTTCTAACCCTGACACGACCATCGTGCATGCCTAAACAAAATCGAGACTCGTCACTAAAGACAATACTGTTACATTCCTGATCCCAGAGTGAGCGTTGTCTGCACCACTCAAGGCGATTACGTCGGTGTTCTCGAGTTAAAGGGAGGACCCAGTGTGGCCGGTATGAAAACAAGCCAAAACTTCTCATTCGTCGGTAAACACTTCGCATGCCAATAGGTCTTCCGTGTTCTGCAAACCATTCATTTGCAATGGACCTGGTAGTGGAGAAACGGTCCCTTAAGGCCAATAATCTTAGGCGGCGATCTTCACGGTCTGTTGTTCTACGGCGGCGTCCAGTGCCCCTTGCTCTTTGCGTACGGCCTTCTCGAAGCCATGCCTCACAACACCTAACCACAGTGTCTTTGCACTTCTTTGCACTCTAACTGCAATTGCCCGAAAAGAAAGTTCCAGCTTCCCAAATTCCCACTATACGGCCCCTATCAAACTCACTAAGTTGACGAAATCGTACAGGTCTCCGTACTCTAGGCATCGTAACCGATCGTAAAGGATGTCAAGAACCAAAATCCACCAACGTTGATTCTTTACTGCGGCTGAAATATTCATTTTTAGAGCGTTAGTGAATTAAAAAAAAAGAGTATAAAAACCGGAATGTCCAACTGATAAGGCTGAAAATTTGTTCACTTGTTATTTACAGTAAGATAAATACATTCACCAACTTTTATTAAAATAAAACCATTTAAACTGGGTGTTCGGATTTATATGTCACTTAGTATAGGTACAGTAACTTGAATGTCTGACAAGGGATGGAATTGGTGATGCTCAAGTGATGTTCGAGGGAAAACCAATTGGTAAGCCAGCTGGAATTTCGAAACGACTACTTGGTCAAAGGTAAATAAAAACATATGGATAGTAAATGACGTTCTACAGGGCATGCCAATATCCCAGGATATGATTCCTTAGCAAATTAGATAGAGAAACATTTATACTAGTATATGTCCACAGTGATCAAAATACTTGCTACAGGGCGTCAAGGTTTTAAGAAAAAAATCGTTTTTAGTTTTTATCTTTGAACGTACTTAAAATATTGTTTTCTTAGCATATTATAAGAGGATGTAATATGACATATTTTAGTATGAAAGTTATTCTAATAGTGCACCAGTGGTGTCCCTGCAAGCATGTTGATGTCTTTTACAAAAAAAATTGGTACGTCACTCATATTTTTCATTGGAGTTGCCATATTGTCGTTATCAGCAAAACGGTGCATCTGATGAAGAAATAGTAAGAACAGGTTTTTATTTAGAAATGATGAAGCTAATTATCTTTTATTGAAAAAATATCACAGTACACGTTTTCAGGGACGTCATTGGTGGCGCAGGAGAACATTCAGTCACACTTAAATATATCGTTTTATAACCTCTAAAATACAAAAATAAAATTAATATTTAGAGTACGTTCAATGATATAATGTAAAGACAAAGCCCTGTAGCTAAAAATTTAAACCATTATGTATATCATATACACTTTTCTTCTATTTCAGATATCATCTTCTGGAGTATTAGCTCATCATTATGAAGCACTCTGTATGCGGAGCTTCATCTTCATAGCACTTCGATTTGAGAATGAAGGTATTTGTTAGTTTAAGTAAGTATCCGAATTTGTGAACTTATAGAGAAGAAGTACTGCAGAAAATGAATATTTTTTAGCGTATTTCAAAGTTTTGCTTACATGTGTGATTCCGAACTATACAGGGTGTCCTAAAAGTTGGGACTTTCCTTTAGGTCCGCAAGTTAACCGAGATATTATGTTCCGAAAAAAAACTACTTGCCGTACCAAATAAATAGCGAGTATTTTCCTTCAACGTAATTTTAACGTTTTCAGTGCTGTTGTACCGCAATTTAACCCTGTCAAACGTTGTTTTTGAAAAGTAAGGTCCAAACATTCAGGACACACTATATTCCCATTGGATTAACAAAATTTTTAAAGTATGTCGTAGAAGACGTTTGTTGTGTAGGGTATATATATGTTACGATTTTGTTTAATAAAATGATTATAAAAAGTTTGATAACAATAAACACATCATAGCCTCTCGAGTTTTATTCATCATCATGTGCGTAATGCACCGTACAAGATATTGTCAGTTATTCAGAGCACGAACTCCTTAAAAATCTAGAGTAAAAAATTGGCTTGCTACTAGAATTTGGGCCCACTTAGATCAGATTTGTGGTAGCGGATGATACTTAATTATGTATACAGGGTGTTTCAGTTTATTGTTGCATAACTTCAAGATTCGATAAAACTTTTAAAATTAATGCATAAAGTCTATATAAACATGGGTACAAAAAATGCGTGGCTTCCGAAATACAGGGTGTTTAAATTTACTTTCTAAAATAGTTTTTTTTAAATATTTCGAACAATATTTGATGTATAACAGTGGAAACTGGTGTACAAGGGTGTTTTGGCACGACAAAACGAACCATGGGCATAGTTTTACTTTAGCCGCTAGAGGGCGCTCTCTACTGTACCTGTAGTATATTAAAATGACCGAAAAAAATTTCTTAGTGCAATTTTTTGCTTTTTAAACAAAAAAAACTGATTGTTCGCACTTTTCTGCATAAAAAAGTTCTCCTGTGAGTTTTCGTTATAGTTAGCCGTTTTTGAGATATTTCGATTTTTAAGGTTCGATGCATTTTTATTATTTATGATAAAATAACGTTAAAAAGTCAGTATCTCGACAATTTTTGTTTTAGTAAATTTAGTTTTGTTGTCTGTTGAAACCTGAAACGTTTTTTTGCAATTTTGAATGCACGAAATTTAGTCTCTTTTACCTGTTTTTTTTGTAAGTGCTGACACACCCAAACTACTGACGCCGGACAACAGTTCCAAGACCCCGGGTAAAACTGAGATATTTCCCGGACTGCCCCAGATTGTTTTAAATAAATAAAAACATCGCAGTCATTTTCAATATTTTTATTAAATTAAACAGCTCCTCATCGATTTATTTAACAATTTTTGGCAAAAATGACAAAATCGATTTAAACTTACAGCCTAACAGTCATCACTCTTTTCTGTCAGAGGTAATCTGGCAACAAAAATAATTAGGAACACTGTTCTTGTAGGCATCAAATTAAAGACAAATTAAAATCACAATTTTTGGTACGGTAAATAATAAAATTGTTCTTGTACAGGGTAATGCGAATCGATGAGCAAGAGTGTGTACAATAAAACATTTTTATAATACGTCTTATGTTTTTCAAGATTGCCCTAACACAACAAGTGGCCGAGGAATCCCCGACAGTGGCGCAAATGGGGGGGGGGAAGCACAAGATTAGCCCCTAAAACCTCGATGCTCAGAAACATAATGGTAATGCCACAAATTAGCCCTCCCAAAACCGATAGTCACAAAATAGTCTTATGAAACTCTTCAAAATGGACAGAAACCAGAAATTTTTCAATCTGTACATACATTGTTTCAAGTGGCAATAACGTTACCAGTTAAGTCTGCCACGTGCGAGAGGTCATTCTCTATTATGCGTAACATTTTGAATTGGCTACGACTTTCTATGGGCCAAGAAAGATTTCCTGCACTTGGATTGTTATTTATCGAAAATGATGCAGAAATAAATTTGGAAGACGTGATTTATAAATATGCATCTAAAAACAGAAAAATAAATTATATATATATATATATATATATATATATATATATATATATATATACAGGGTGTCCGCAAAGTTGGGGTTTTCCTTTACACGACGTGTAGATCTTGAAAACATAAGAAATTTTTCTTAGTACCATATACACCAATGTCTTAAGGGAACCGAGATAAAGGGCTCTGCAACATCAAAAATATCTGAATACCGTCCTGTGGCCGCGACCCGGGACATCACCGATTGGTACAAGGTCTCAACCCGACGACAGAACTGAGTCGGGGTCAGTGTGTCAGGTCAGTATGCAACCTTCAATCGAGGGTTACGGTCACGCGTGTAGAGGTAATCGCGTAGACGAGAATCCCTCAACAAGCACTAGAGACGTGGCTAGAAAAGTGCAAGTATCAAAAACTAAAGTGTGGCAAACGCTGCGTGAAGAGGGGCTATCCGTTTCACGTCCAAAGTGTACAAGCCCTTCAACCTGACGATTTTTCAGCAAGAGTGCGTTTTTGTGAGTGGTTGTTGCATCAACATGACAATAATCCGGACTTTTTGAAGTGCATATTAGTGACAGACGAATCTACGTTCACGCGTAATGGGGTGAATAACTTTCGCAACACTCATGTTTGGTCAGTAGAAAATCCGCACGCTGTCCGTCGGGGACATTTTCAACAAACATTTTCGGTGAATGTTTGGGCTGGCATGGTAAACGGTATGCTCATTGGACCTTTTATTCTCCCAAATCGATTGGACGGGATACAATACCTAGACTTTTTTCGCAACATTTTGCCTTCCTTGTTTGCCTGCGTCTGCTCGGTAGCGCATCAGCTGATTTCATTTTCTGTTGGAGCGGTATGATTTCGGGCAGAGACGTACTTAGCCCTTCTCGTCAATTGGAGAGTGAGTACTTTTTCCTTTATTTTTTTTTACTTAGTCGCCCTCGTTTCACTACACATTACCTTTGTTATTTCAAGGGTAGTTGTTTCTGAAAAGGTAAACCCCAACTTTGCGGACACCCTGTATATATATATAATGAATAATATTATATTTTAAGTAGGCCAGTGGTCACGTATGCATGTGAAACATGTACGACAACAAAGGCAGAACAAGCAAAGCTGGATACATGGGAACGGAAGGTGTTAAGGAAGATTTTTGGTGGCAAAATGTTAGATGATGGTACGTGGACCCGAAGAACAAATGATGAGTTGAAAGAACTATTTAAAGAGCCCAACACAACGGCGGTCATACGAGCTCAGAAGTTGAGATGGTTGGGACACGTGCAAAGAATGGCAGAACATAGAGTACCGAAGACACTGCTTACCCATTCAATAAGAGGGAAGAAAAGGAGAGGCAGACCTAGGACGAGGTGGAAGACTGAGGTGAAAGATGACATGAGGAAATTAAACATAAGTTATTGGGACAGAAGAGCAATAAATAGAGAAGGATGGCGAAGGATCGCCAATCAAGTCATGGGCCTACTAGGCCTGTAGTGCTGGTTTATATAAATTTTAAGTTTTTAGCCTTTCTGTGTGCTGGTCCGTCTATCTGTCTGTGCACTTAGGAGGAATTTAATTTGAAAGAACTTGTTCCAGTTGTTTTTAGTACCGATTTAAGTTGTTTAAGTTTTAAGCTCGAGTTATTTTTTACTTACATATTATATATGTATGAATGTATATTAAAATGTTTTTATAACTTTGTTTTTTCCCACTAAGAACGTAGATTATATCGCAGAACAAAATTAATAACAGAGAATTTCCATCAAATACAGGCATTTGTGAAATACATACTGTAGTAAGTTTTGAAGAACATCATACTGTTACCAAATCGACTTATAGAGATCCGGGGCTCAAGCCCCCCCAAAATCAGCAAATTAGTTGCGCCACTGATCTCTGGCCATTTTTCAAAGACCCTTGCGGATGACCCTCGGACAAATCCATGAGATCCTGGATAGGAGGCCTATTCTTGAACAAACTACACTTTTTCGCCTGATCGTATAAGCCCTTTACTTATTTATTAAAACTAAACGAGCAATTTGGCCTTTTTCACGCAATGAACATCGCCGAGGACAGAAGCTCTCATAGATAATTTTGTTTGCTTTTTTGAGACATTTCGATAAAAATATAAACATTTTGAAGTACATAACTGCTAAATTTTACAGCGCTTGAATATTGAACACATGATTTTGCAGTGTCGCTTCATGTTTCAAGAAAAATATGTATAGTTTTCATGAGGATATAAATAAATCTAATGGAGCAATACATACAAATATTGCAGGAGCATTCGCAAGTACAACAGCTATTTTTCAAGTGTCACTCGTACTACTCCTATATACAGGGTGTTTCAGTTTCAATAAAGCATAACTTTCAGATTCGATAGAACTTTTAAAATTAATGCATAAAGTCTATATAAACATGGGTCGAAAACTTCGTAGCTTCCGAAATACAGGGTGTTTAAATTTACTTTCTAAAATAGTTTTTTTTAAATATTTCGAACAATATTTGATGTATAACAGTGAAAATTAGTATACAAGGGTTTCTTGGTACGACAAAACAAACCATAGGCATAGTTTTACTGTAGCCGCTAGATGGCGCTCTCTACTGTACCTGTAGTGTATTAAAATGACCGAAAATTTTTTCTTAGTGCAATTTTTTGCTTTTTGAATAAAAAAACTGATTCTTCGCACTTTTCTGCATAAAAAAGGTCTCCTGAGAGTTTTCGTTATAGTTAGCCGTTTTTGAGATATTTCGATTTTTAAGGTTCGGTGCATTTTTAATTATTTATGGGAAAATAATATTTTTTTACATTTTCGATTTGGACATTACAAGTAATTAAGATGATCGTTTAGATTGTGTTTTTAAACACAGCAATAATTCCTAACTCCAAATAAACACAAAAAGACAGAATATTAATTTGTTTAATTAAGTAGTTGCTCGAAATGTAAACCCAATTGTTCAATACACAATTCACATCTACGAATGATCGAACGTGGTATAGCATTATTCAAATAAGGCCTTATTTCATCACAATTATTCCTGATTCTGTCTATTAGCATATCTCTTGTGGTTACGGGAGTCTGGTACACTTTTTTCTTTTAAAAATCCCCACACAAAGAAATCTAATGGATTTAGGTCAGGGGCTCGTGGAGGCCAGGCGACTGGTCCTCCACGGCCGTTCCATCTTTCCGGATAATTTTCATCCAGCCAGTTTCTTACTATTCTCGAATAATGAGCTGGACAACCATCAAGCTGGAACCAGGCCACTCTTCTTAAATCTAACATAACATCATCCCACATATTTGCAAGTTCAGCCTTTAAAGATTCCAAGAAGGTCGCAGCATTTAACCTTGCAGGCAAAAGGTAGGGTCCAAATAGTCGATTACGGTAGATACCAATCCACACGTTCACCCTAAATTCATGCTGAAAAATGTGATTCTTCGTTCTCCGTCCCCTGGCTGTAGTCCTTGCACAGGTTGCAAATGGTAAGGACGTCTATGGTCATTTCTAAGAACACGGTGAACATGGCTTGCTGAAATTCCCAAGGCACCAGAAACTCTCCTAACACTTGTGGTCGGATCTCTATCAAACTCACGCAGAATCATACGGGTAAATCTGCGCTGACGAACATTTATGTTTTGATCCCTTTGGAGATTTCCAAAACCATTTTCAATTATTTGGCGATGCACTCTTACAAATACTGAGCGAGTTGGATGTCGTCTGTTTGGAAATCTTCGTGCGTATTCTCTGGCTGCTTCTTACACATACACAAAATGAATATCCGCTAACTCTTGATTGGAGAATAAAAATGGCATTTTTATAAAACTTACAAAAAAAAAACAGGTAAAAGAAACTAAATTTCGTGCATTCACAATTGCAAAAAAACGTTTCAGGTTTCAACAGACAACAAAAGTAACTGTCAACTAATTGACGTTTAACCTTATTCTGCTTTCAATTTCAAAAATATTTGCAGCCACTTCTAACAATTATCGAGATACTGACTTTTTAACTTTATTTTATCATAAATAATTAAAAATGCATCGAACCTTAAAAATCGAAATATCTCAAAAACGGCTAACTATAACGAAAATTCACAAGAAAGCTTTTTTATGTTGAAAAGTGCGAAGAATCAGCTTTTTTATTCAAAAAGCAAAAAATTGCACTAAGAAAAATTTTACGGTCATTTTAATACACTACAGGTACAGTAGAGAGCGCCCTCTAGCGGCTACAGTAAAACTATGCCCATGGTTCGTTTTGTCGTATCAAAAAACCCTTGTATACCAATTTTCACTGATATACATCAAATATTGTTCGAAATATTTAAAAAAAAACTATTTTAGAAAGTAAATTTAAACATCCTGTATTTCGGAAGCCACGTATTTTTCGATCCATGTTTATATAGACTTTATGCATTAATTTTCAGAGTTCTATCGAATCTTAAAGTTATGCAACAATAAACTGAAACACCCTGTATAATTGGGAAGTGAACATCTTGTAACACCCTTGTAACTGAGACCTTGAATGGTGAAAATATATCCTCGCAAAATTAGGCAACCAGAGTTACGCCATTATGTATCGTAGCCTGCGAAGCTCGCAGAGCGATTGCATTCACGTGCGTGAGCGATCGAGAGGGTTCTCTGTTGCCATCGGGAGCGTTCGGGAACTATT